GAATAGATAAATAAATTGGGGTTTATTCACATACTGGAATACAACACAGCAATAAAAAAAGAAGGAACCACTGCAACCCACTAGAACACAGATGAGCCGCCCAGAGATAATGCTGAATGAAATAAGCCAGACACAAAAGTAAACATACTGCATGATTCAATTTATATGAAGTTCATAAACAGGCAAAACTAATCTCTGATGGTATAAGTAAGACTAGCAATTACCTCTGGGGGATATTGGTTGGAGGGGAGCATAAAGGCTGCTTCTGGGGTGCCAGAAATGTTCTAGATCTTGATCTGGTTCATATATATGTACAAATTTATCAATTTGTATACTTGATGGTATGTGAGTTATACCCCAACTAGACAATGTAAATGCCTAGATTTATTATTTGGAGCATCTTTTTTTTTTTTTTTTTGCCACACCAATGCGGCTTTCAGGATCTTAGTTCCTTGACCAGGGACTGAACCCGGGCCCACGGCAGTGAAAGCGCCAAGTCCTAACCACTGAACTGCCAGGGAATTCCCTATATGGAGCATCTTTGTGTTAGGAGGTAGGAGAACTTTTTGAAGGAGAATTTTTAAATGGTTTTTCTGCTCCTTCTTTCCTGCTCTCATCCACCCCCTCAGCCTCTCCCTATATAGGAACTTCTTGTTTCTCAACATTCCTTTATTCCACTCCTTTACTTCTTCATTGGAACCTCTACTACAGGCCAGGCGCTATTCTAGAAGCTGAGGGCGCAACATACCTCTCAACAGTCCCAAGTGCAATAAACATGTATTTAACATCTGCCCTGAGCTGAGCACTAAGGGCCCTCCTCTCCCAGCACTGAGCATTTTCTCTCAAGCAGGTCCAAGTGGCAAAGAACGAGGCACAGAATATCTGGGCTCCTTTCTAGTTTCACCTATGGTTCCAAGAAAGAAGATGCCTACTATGTGTCAACGTGCATTTAATCCTCTATAACCCAGCTCACACAGCTGGAAGGCAGCAGGGTAGAGTTCAAACCCAGGTATGTCTGATTCCTATGTCCCTGCCCTTCCCACCGCTCTCGAGACCTCCCGAGAGCCAGATCAGTTTTGCTCTCTCCCTGGAACTCTGTGGTCGTCAGCCTCCAAATGGTCCCAGTGATTCTTGCCTCCAAGTATTCATGTCTTTATAGGCCCCTCCCACACTCAATGGGGCTGACTTGTGTGACTAACAGCATATTGTAGAAATAGTGTTTGTCTTCCAAGGCCAGGCTATAAAAGACATGGGCCTTCTGCCTCGCTCTTTCTTGAATCACTCACTTTGAGGCAGCCAGGCGCCATGTTATGAGGACACTCAAGCAGTCCTATGGAGACGGCTGTGTGTCAAGAAACTGACACCTCCTGCCAAAAGCCAGCCCCAACTTGTTAGCCACGTGAATGAACCATCTTGGAAGGAGATCCCCCAGCCTGTCAGGCCTTCAGATGACATTAGCCCCACCTGACATCTTGACTGCCACCCCATGAGAGACCCCAGCCCAGAACCGGCCAGCTAAGCCACTCTCAAATTTCTGACGCACAGAAACTGTGTGTTGCCGCTTTAAGCTACTAAATTTGGGGGTAATTTGTTACATCATATTGTGGCGTATAAATCATAGAGCCCCGCTCAGAGCCATGGGTTCATGATGCAGCAACAGTCTGGAAGGAGGCATGTTTAGGCATCTAGAACCAGCCACTTACCAGAGGGGCGGCCAGAGCGAGCTGAATTTGAGAGGACAGGAGAGGATCAATACCAGCAAGAAATCCCCAGTGTGTGGAAAAGAACTGTGAAATAAGAGACCAAGCAAAGCAGAAGTCCTGGCACCCTCTTCCCTAGAAATTTCCCACACTCTTCATCTACCTCAGTAAATAGAAGCACGTGTACCCGGTGACTCTGGCCAACAACCTGGGAGTCATCCTTGAGCCCATTCTCACTCTCACATCCAACATCCCATCCCATCCACAGCCAGGCTCTGGGCTCTACCCCAGAATGCATCCCAGGCCTGGTCCCTTCTCATCATCTTTCTGGCAAGCGCCATGGACTAAGCCACCAGCGTCTCTCACCTGGGCAACATCAGCGGCCTCCTGGCCCACCTCCCTGCTCCTACACTTCTGCCTGCTCAAGGTCAGAGTGGCCTTCTCCAAGTGGAGATCAGATCATGCCTCTCACGCTTAAAACCCGCCAGTGCTCACTACTCTCCAGCCACACGGCCTTCTTTCAAGCGTGACAAGCTCACCTCACCTCGGGTGCACTGGCTCTTTCCATCTCTCAGATCATCATGTAACATCACTGGAGTCTCCTCTCACACAATACTTCCTTGGAGGAGTTGTCCTGGGCCACTCAGCCTAATCATTCTCTAACCCCCGCTCTAGCTCGATTCCCTCATAACTTGTTTGCCTATTTACTGTCTGTCTCCCCTGGGAGAATGTCAGTCCCATGAGGGCAGAGGCCTTCTCTGTCTTGTTCACCTACAACAGTGTCTGGCATATGGAAAGAGCTCAAAAAACACTGGTTTAATGAATCCCTTCTAGAGGCAGGGGGATGGATGCGATGACCTCCAAGTTGATCTGGTTATAAAATCCAGGGTACAGAGCTCTGCTGTGTGGTCTGGGGCTCATATCACCCTTTCCCAGCAGGAGGAAAAGGCAGGGCGTTAGCAAGATCTGTAGTTTTAGGGGAGAGACTTGCCAGGTGGGTGGAGCTCACACCACCAGTGGGTACCATTTCCTATAGAGGAAGATCCTATCAAAAGCCCCTTTTGTCTGTCTGGCCACTGCCCTGCCAGGCCACCTCTCCCCTCCGGGTTAGCCTCATTGGCTGGGCAGAGCAGGGCTGCAGCAGCCTGGTGTATTCTGAACCCCCAGCGTATGTGAGAACTGCCAAGCAGGGTACACCTCCCAGAAGTCAGCTCTGTCATCTCTCTGCGTCCACACAGGAGGCAGCTGTACAGCAAGGAGCCATCTTCTGTCACACCTCTCAGCCTCTCTGGACCCCCCCTTTCACCCTACTCAGGCCTTCACTGGACATTCATCACCTATCCTCTCTGACTGTATCCACTACCGCAAGAGATGGAAGGCAAAGGGGGAAAAGCAGGTAAGGATCAAGGAATGTCTGCCCCTAGGCAAGAGGGACAAGAAGGAAGCGCAAAGGCCCAGGGACAGAAATGGGTGAGGAATTATACTGTGAGACCTTGGGAAAGTCAATCAACCTTTGGGTGCCTCGGTTTATCTGTAAAACAACGAGATCTTTCGGCCTGTTTTATGCTCTGGTAGAATTAAAAGAATAAAATCAGATAACGCATTGAAGTGTTTTCTAAGGCCTACAGCACTGTACAAATGTCCATTGTTATTAAGAGAAACAGGTGCAGGAAGGGGGGGTTGATTGGGGAGGAGCAAGAACACCGGAAGGTTCTGGGGTTAAAGGTGGAAAAACTCTGCTCTGGATGAAGAGAACAAGGTGGGAGATGCAGGGAGAGGCAGAAACTCACTTCCCACCCAGAGAAGAAAAGGCTGAGGTTGTCAGAAAAGCAGAAGACAACAGAAGGGGCAGAAACTGTCCAGGTGGCAGAAACAAGCCAGGCCTTTTGCACTTCTGCCGGGACAGCCCTCCAACCTGGAGTTTCCAGACGGAGAGACCCCTACCCTACCCCACAGCAAGGCTGCATACTCTGCTTGAGCAAGGCCACTCAGGGGAAGTGGATCCCCTCTCAGAGAGGCCTGCTCCATCAGCACCTTTCTCCAACGTAACTCTCCGCCCTCAGAGCTACCAACGGATAATAATCAATTACCTGTTATGTTTTTGCGCACCTATTGCGTGTCAGGCACTGTGCTGGGCACGTCACACACATTATCCCATCTCAGCCTCATAATAACCTTTTCCTACTCCCATATCCTTGAGAATGAAATAGAGGCTCAGAGAGGTTACATGACTTGCCCAAGGTCACCCAGTTAATAAGAAGCAGAGCATGAGATGCACCAGACACTGGGCCTCAACTCCTCAAAGCTCCTTTTTGAAGCATCCTCCCCCTTCCTTCCATTCACTGAACTCCTTCCTGAAAGATTAAGTGCGAACAGCAGAGGCAGGGGTTAGAGGGCAGGGAGGATATTAACAATAATGGGGACAGTGCGTAGACTGGCTGCACATGAAAGGTTGAGGCAGAGCACTTCCACCTCCAGAAAGTTGAGCACATCTGACGGAACAATTTCCTTCCCAAGTCATCCATCAAAATCCAACCTGGTGTCATCCCCACCCCCACCCCCATTACTCCAAGGCTGCCACCAGGTGATCACTCTTCTGCCAAAGCATGAGAGGATGCGGCAAGGGACCAGCCAACCTGGCCAACCAGGACCCAGCAATTCCTCTGGTCTTTCTTTCCTCCTGTTTTCCTCTCCCACTAAGACAAGCCAGGAAACACAGATGGGGAAACTGAGCACCGAAGTGAGATCCCGCCAATGAAGAGAGTGGGACAGTCGCTCAAGGAGGTTCCAGACCCAGCGCGACCCTGACCTCTGACCTTTTTCCACCTCACCCCCATTCCCCCTACCTATCCCCTTCTCCGCCCTCGGGGTCCTATGGCTGTGGCACTATCCCGCGTTTTTCTAGGCTGGCCAAATCCGGCCAACTAGAGCTCTGCGCGGCCCAAGGGGGAATTGAAATGCATCCCTCTCCGCCTTCATATATCCACTCCCCTTGAGAACTAGGTGGAAATACCTTCAAAGGCCCTTCTCCAGGAGCTCGATCCCCGCCAGTCACCCCCAATAGCCGCCGAGCCTGCGCATCGCGCCCCCATCCCCCTCGCCGCTCCCCGCCCCCGGCCCTCGCCTTCACCTTGACCTGAGCCAGCTCCGGGGCCCAGAAGCTTTGCATAAACAAAGAGAGAAGGAGGGGACGATCAGGGCACCGCCCCCGGCCCGCCGGCGCCCCCGCTCCAGTCCCGTGACCCCTAGCCCGTCCCGTCCTCAAGCCCCCCGCGGGGCCAGCGGCCCGCAGCCCCTTACCTTGGCCTGGCATTTCCGATGACAGGAGAAGCTGCAGACTGCAAGAGGGCGAGACACAGAAAGAAAGTTTAGCCGCGAGGTATGATATGGAAACTCCGGCGAAATCTCCTCCCACCCCCGCCCGCAATCCGCGCTCGGGAGGGAAGGAGGGACGGAGGGAAGGAGGGACGGAGAGAGGAGGGGGCGGGGGGCTGCCGCAGCTCCCCGGGGCCTAAGGGACGAGAACGCCCGGGACTGCGAACCCGCGGGCCGAGGAGGCGCCTAGACCACGTTGCCAGAGCCCCTCGGGCGGCCGCGGGAAGTTGGGAGGAGCGAGGGGAGAGGAGTGGAACCGACTCCGCCGCTGGATCCTTGCAGAGGGCAGAGGTGGCCCGGACCCAGGGTCCTTGTCAGCCGAGCTAGGAATAAGGGGACCTTCTCCCCTTACACGCCCTGCAGGCAGTTGGCACCCGGGAACCACGATCACACTCACTCCCCCCAGGAGAGACACACACACCCAATTCATGGTCCAGGAGAGGCCCGCGCGCGCACACACACACACAGACACCAATAACCACTTACACCCATACACTCAGCCATACGTGCACACAGAGCCAGCCTTGCACACCCACTCACAAGCTCAAGGAGAAACCTCTGACTGGGGGCTGGGGGGGGGGAAGTCGCACACACAATTTCATGGGAGATCCTCGGAGTACAGCCTGTACACAGACGTGTGGGCAGATTCACAAACTTTGTGTTGAAACACACGTGAGTTGAAACACACACACACACACACACACACACACACACACACACACACACACGACTTGCTCTGCCCTCCCACTACCAGAAGCTGGAATCAAATTTCCTGTGGGGTTCCCTCAGCCTGGAATGTCCCAGCCTGCCCACCCTAACCCCAGGGCCCTCCACCCAGGATTTGGTGAGCCCCTCTCACCAGGTCCCGAAGGTGGGTGAGGGGTCTCCTGAGCTGAGTTCCTGCGCTGACTTGGGCTGCGGAGGCAGGTGGGTCAGGGGCGCTGGTTAGGGAACAGGGAGCCACCCTGACGGCGAATCCTCACAGCCCCGGACCACAGTCGGCTGCCCTGCCTCCTGGATCTACAGTTACCCAACCCCTTTCCAACCACAAGCCAACCAGATCCCCAGCAGAACGCAGAAGGGAGACTGAGGCACAGCTGAAGGCCCAGAGCCGCCAAAAGAGGCTCCAAGGCACCCCAAACGAAGGCTTCTGCTTTGTCGGTGGGAGTAGGGGTGGGGGGAAGCTGGGAGGCACACCGGGTGGAGTCTGGGATGTGACCTTGGCCGGCCCTTGTTCTCCCAGCACCTAGTTCTGGCCCCAGCGCAGCCTGTGGTTCAGCCAGTGATGCGCAAGGCTTTCCTGACCCCACCAGCCGCACGGCCCGGGGACTTCTCCGCCCCCAGCCACCCACGTCAAGTCAGACCCATCCATCAAGCCTTTCTGCTTCTCCCTGTGCCCCACCCCCCCCAACCCCAGGCAACGCCCCTGCAGAGGGTGTTTCCACTCTGACGCCGGCAGCCTGCCTAGCCCCACCCCCATGCCTTCTTTTCTGGCCTAGGAATGTGGAATTGAGAAAGCCTCTGGCCATGTGGCCTGAGCTTTGAAGGCCCTTCCAGTCAGGCAGGCGCCCCACTGGGCCACTGCCTCCAAACCAAGGGACCTTTCCTCTTCCTCTGCTAATCAAATGCCAGGTCTTCAAGAATGAGGCCTAGGCCCCTTCTCTGGAGGCCTCTCTCACTCTTCCCTCCTCCTTGAAGGTATCACCAGAGAGTGCCATTTCCTGCACCATCTTGGTTCCTACACTGTGGGCTCCTTCAAGGAAGGGACCTCCTGGCTCTCTCTCTCTCTCTCTCTCTCTCTCTCTCTCTCACACACACACACACACACACACACACACACACACACACACACACGAGAGAGATACAGTGCCTGGTACGTAGTAGAGGCTTAATAAATGTTTGCTGAGTTGACCTGAAGATCTCCCCTGGAGTTTATGTGCACCCCCATTTAATCATCCCCCCCACTCAGTCTTTTCCTGAACCATAACCCTCCCCACAGCGTCTCATAGTCAATCAATAAGGCACCCCTAAGTGTTCACTCCAGGCCTCCCAACCCCACTCTAGACACTGGGAGCACAGTGAGAGCCAGGACTCCATCTTTCTTCGGCATCAGACTTCATACTCCTGACGTTCACAGAGTGCATCAAAACTTTCCTACCTCAGGGCCTTTGCACTTGCTGTTCTGGCTGTCTGGAAAGCTCTCCCTCACTCCATCTCTCCATTGTTCACCAAGCCACATCCTTCTTCTACTTCTAGAATCCACTGAGAGCCATCTCTTCAAAGAGGCTTTCCCTGACCACCCAAATTACAGTAGGCTCCCCATTATTCTTTCTCAGCAGCACCCTGATAAAATCCTCTTAGCACAGCTCACAGTCTGAACTCATCTGGGGTAATTCCTGCTCACTTATATATAGTATATCTCCCCACACCAGACGGATGACGGCAGGGAACATGCCTGTCTCATTCACACTGTATCCCCAGCAGCTAGAACAGTGTCTGCTCCAAGCGCACAGCACCAAACAGCACCTCTGTGCAAATTAGAAGAAGTCCCAACCTCTGGGCAGACCAGCCCACTGGACACTGACTATAGTGTCTTTGTGGGAATGGCAAGAAGATGCTCCTCCTCCAGGAGGACCCAGCCCTGTACGTGGATGCATGGCTTGGTGAGCAAAATGTGGACCGATTCCAGTGCTCTCTCAGGCAGGCACTCTTGGCAGTGAATGGCCTGCAGGGCAGGCCTGCCTGTCACACAGTGGACAGACACTCAATAAATGCCCTTGAATGGAGGGCAGATGGGGAAATCATTGGGCAATTGCAGTACAATGCGCTGAGTTCTCCCTACGTGCTGGAATGCAGAGAGCTTGTCCTTGAAAGCTCTAGAGTGGGGAGCAAAGGAATATACCTCCCTCAGCCCCCAGCCCCCAGCTCAAAAGACAAAAGTTCAGCAAACTGAATTCAAGTGGCAGGTTCCAAGCAGCGCAGGCATTGTCAAGCCCCCACAAATGAATTTTTGCACCTTCAGAAGCACCTGCTCCCAACCCCAGGGAAACCCTCTTGCCCTGAGTCCCCTCCAGGGAAGGCTCCTTTACAATCTCAGTCACCTGTCTCAGGTATTCTCCCATAGGGCAGTATTTCCTTCTCTCTAACCTGCATCCCTCCTGCTGTAATTTGAAATATGCCGTTTAGCTGGCTTCTCACTTTTCTCAGACCAATGGCACGTTCAAATGTGTCACAGAAAGGTAAACTGCGGCAGCCAGCCTCCAAGGCGGCCCCCAGTGTGTCTCGCCTCCTGGTATGCTCACCCTTCTGCAGTCCCCTCCCACAGTGAACTGGTTTATATACCAATTGGATATTATAGAAAAGATGGTATATGACTTCTGAAGCTAAGTCATCAAAGGCACTGGTGGCTTCAGCCTTTGTCTCCTGGATCACTCAGTCTAGGGGAAGCCAGTTACCATGTCATGAGGACACTCAAGCAGCCCAATACAGAGGGCCATGTAATGAACAACTGAGGCCTCCTGCCATCAGCCAGCATAAAGTTCACTGGCGCACAACTGAACCACCTTGGAAGCGTATCTTCCACCCCTGTCAGGCCTTCAGATGACTACAGCCCCAGCTACCTTGACTGCAACTTCATGAGACACCCAGAGTCCGAACCACCCAGTTACGTGGATGAATCCCCACTCATAAATCCCTGACCCACAGAAACTATGTGAGAGAATAATTCTGTACTTGTTTTAGACTGCTAAGTTTTAGAGTAATTTGTTATGCAGCTACAGCTAACTAATACAGAAACCAGAGCACAGGATCCCTCAGAAAGCAAGAGGCCGAAGGCTGATGCTGCGAACAAAGACAAGAGGCCCTTCCCTGGGTCCTTCCTTGCTCCCTGGGTACCTGCATATTCCTCTCTGTAACTCCTTCTTCCCTTTCCTTACCCTACCAAGCAATTAGTCATCCAAAGAGGCTGCTGAATCCCAACCTTCCTCCCACACCACTGCACCAGTTCAGACCAGTTATCCTTCCCTGGGCCCCATCTCCCCACCAGCCTTGTCTCCTTTCAATCCACAGAGTCACAGGCCATTCTCAAGTACAAACTGATCACATTGTACCCCTGCTTATTAGACCCTCTGTCTAGCTCCTCAACACACTTATAAGGCCCTACATGGCCTAGTCTTGCCTCTACCTCCAGCCACTGCCGCTAAAGAGATCTGTTCCTGCCCCACCAAACTCCCCACACAGACTTCGAGTCTACAAGGTTCAGGTCTGGAATGGTGAGCTCATATACATCCTTCAAGGCCCAGTTCAAAATGTCCCTCCCTGGATAATTCAAAGATGGTCCCTCTCTCCTCTGTGCTCCAAGAATCCTCAGCCCACAACCCTTGGAAAGTGCTTGTCACCTTGGAGGACTAAGTATTCCTCTATTATTGGTTCTCCCCCACATTCAACTGCTTTAAGACAGAAAGGGAGGTCCTGTTCAATTTTTCAGCTTTGCACCCTGCCCCATCCCCTAGCACTGGGTCTGGCATAGATGGGCTCAATAAATGTATAGTAAATTTCAAACTGGAAGGATTCTCCCCAGCCTAAACCCCTGGGACCAGGACTGACACTCTGGGGCAACAGAAAAGACACAAGTGAGGGTCGGGGAGCCTCGCTCTTCAGCTCCACCCCCTGCTGGGAGAAGGCAGGTGGGGACCATAGTCAGTCTTCCCAAGTGCTTCAGGACAAACACCACCTATGATCAAGCCTAGTGGGAGCACTAAAGGAGTTAACTGATCCTTCATCCATTCGTCCATGGGTCCTGCTCTCCACCTACCCACTTACCTACCTGGCTTCATGTACACTGGCTCTCAGCTCAGATGCAGGTCACACACCAGCTCTGTGATCTGGGGCAAGTTACTTAACCACTCTGAGCCTTCATCCCTTCATCTCGAAAATGGGGGTAATAATAGCATCTACATCACAC